CAGTGGCGTAACGGACTTCCGCTGGGCCCCCCCGCAAAATTTTTTCTAGCCCCCCCCCCCATGTCGATAAAATTCCAAAATTATCCCCCCCTCCCCATTATTTTGCCCGAGACATCTCAAATCACGGACTTGGAATGCCTCACCCCATTGGATTAAATGGGGCCCCTAAAGGATCAAGGATCTAAAGGGTGGCAGGGGCCCAGCCCAGGCCCAAGGATCTACAGAGGGGCGTAGGCCCAAGAATCAAAGGGCCTCCAAGAGCCTTGGGGCCCTTTAGGTTCTTGGATCTCCCAAAGCCCGAATTACGAAAAGTGACAAAAAAAGAAAAAATGTTTAGTAATCACTGAGTGGACATTGGAAGGCAGGGGCCCTCCAGCAAACAAAAAGTTAGGAACAGTCCGAAAGAAGTATATAAAATACCCCGTGCTAACAATAAAAATCAGAGGAAGAAGCCCCACCTCGGTAAGTAAAGGCCCAAAGTTTGAAACCAAAGCTAAGCATAAAAAAGAGAGAGAGAGAAAAAAAAATTCCGGCGGCCGAGGGCCCCCTAGGCGCCTGGGCCCCCCTGCATAGCAGGGTCTGCGGGGGCGCCCGTTACGCCACTGAATCCCGGTTAAATACTCGACTTTAACCAATTTATCTTCCCGCGCAAACTAGTCGCAGGACTGTATGAGCCCCGTCCCGTGGAGACGGTAACTGGGAAAAATCCCAGAAGTTTCATTCCTGCGATTCGAACTTGGGACAAATCCCATGAAAACGTCCCGTGGAGACAAGGCCTATGTCACGTTTGACAGAACGCGCTATCCGGCATTCTAAATTCCTCAAAAGGAACTCAAATTGGCGCTTAGTTCCGTTTGACATAAATACGTCCAATTATCGGTTTTGAATATCGCTAGAAATGTGGGGGGGNGGGGGGGGGGGGGGAGGTCACGCCACAAGTAATGCGCATGCGCAGACTGATGCCTTAACTTTAACTATTGATATGGTTGCTGAAATGCAGCATTCGCTTCCTTAAACGAGCAAAAAACTGGGCTGGTAATCAGAAGACTCCCGGATCTAATCCTAGGTCTGCCCCTCTTATTTATATTAATATTCGATCTTTGAGGAACACTACTTTAGTGTGATTCAGCACCACTTGATGTGAATGACACCTAGGAAAAATCACTCGACCCGAAACAACACTGGCTTTTTGTGAGCTGGTGTTACATTCGCGTACTCAAGTGGTAAAATCTATGTCCTCAGTTGGGTTCCCGTCGGATAGGCAACTAAACTTACTGCGTTGTGAGGCGTAGAGCATTGCGAAAAATGAAGGCGCCCCGGGAAGAGATGGGCTTTTGAAGTTCTTCACCAATGAAAGCCAATTTGGTCCGATATGATTTTTTGCACTTTGCTGAGTTACCGCACCGTTCAAAATATCGAGGTTTTTGAGTTATAAAAGTCGAATTTTTCTTCTGTGAAAAACGTTCTATACTCTATTTGTATGTAGTTCTGTTCTCGGAAAAGTTGAAATTTATGTATTTCGTTTTATATCATTGTATTTTTTCTTGTTTTTTCATTGTTCAATAAACATTATCACATTTCTATATCCAGTAAGATTTTTCAATAGTTGTGTACCTATGCCAGATGACGATGGAGAAAATAGGCACCTACCTAGGTATCCGAAGTATATTCGGTAAAAGCAATGCCGAGGAAAACAATAAAAATGTGTGTGAGGGCACGATGTCCTATGTTTCTTTTCACTTACACATCGATGATATAACTGCAAAAATGCATAGGTATTTCAGTTTACGGCGCGGCGTTGCAGACTTCCTGTCATAGGTACTTTATTTTCTACATGGAAAACTAACTGAATGTCATTTTTTGAAAATTTCAGTGATTTCTCCTCTCCTTAAGAAGAATATTCTATAAAAACTTCAAGGCATGGTGTTGATTCGGTCTCTTTTTAAAAAATAAAATAGAAGCGGAGATTTCGAAACACTGCAACTAGCTGAAATACGCATTTTTGCAGTTTCGCCGTCGATATGTAACTTTGACACCCCTTTCTCTTCGAAAAAAGTTCAAATATGTTATCAGTCGATGCCTAATTATTAATTAACGTGGACAAATGGTTATGGAAGAAATCAAGATTAGACTGATCAGTGCCCACTTTTATCACAATTCCTATTGGTACATTGCAAGACTTAGAGCCTTGAAACCTCAGTTCTATTTCGTGCTTTCATGTGGCCTCATTGAACCACGCCGGTAAGTGAGGTTATAGTTTTCTTTTAGAGTACCTAATTGGAGAGTGTTACTCATTGTGCGTGGTAAGTGAATTTTTCTCTTTAAAAAAAAAAAAAAAAAAAAAATTGCACCACATTTATGGGAATGGGGACCATCATTAGTGGCAGTAATATTCTTACGAATATAGGTGATTTTATGGATTTACCAGAAATACTCCAAAATGTGGTCTATTATGAATGGTGGTAATTTCATTAATTTATTTATTCAAGGGATGTTCATAAGATACCTACGGCACGCTTAAGGGTAGAAGATGGGGGAGGTTCAGGGCCGCGTCGCAACGCTTGACGCTATATTTCTCATACTATCTTATTAAATCAATTTAACTCGCATTTTGCATAAGTTTGCAAATATAGGTATATAGAATTTTCTTATTATTCTTTTGAACCTTCATTTCTAACTTAACCTCAAAAGCATCTATCTGCACGAAGAGATGAATAGCATTTTGTAATGACAGTGAGAAAAACGGGAACTTTTAAGGTAAAAAATATATTGATTGGGGTATTTATATTAACTTATTTAAGGGTTAGTTCTGAAGCCCTTGCCGATAACACTCAAAAATTCCAAATATTGACTTTTCAAGAGCATCGAATTTGCAATGCGTTGCAGACTTCCTGTCATACTTCATTTTTTATGGAATGTTAGCGACGTCAAATGCTAAGATTTTCCTTCATTTTCGCGTGCTACCACATCACATACCTACTCCGGAGCATGCCCGGATTCATACATAGGCCGTCGAGGCTGCGGCCTAGGCCTCTAGGGGCGGGCGGCAATTATACGTAAATCTGGACATGAGGACATCAAGTCGATTAAGCACAGGGGAGAATTTTATGAGCGCCACACAGTGGGACGAAAAGGTGTCAAAACGGGACATTCGCACATTAGACGATAATTTTTCGCCGATCTTCTCAAAACTTGACATTTTCGGTCTTTTAGGGAAAAGAAATCCAATATTATGTTCAGTATTTGGTTCATAGTGACAATCCCGCCAAAAAGTGATGTTGCCAAGTCTCTGTTTTAATATATTTGATAAACAGATTAGCATGATTATAGTAGAGATTTAACGCGCGTGTTGTTTGTTTTTTTTTCATTGAAAAAGAAAATGAATTCACTTATCCTGGAATTGAGAAATGATTTTATTAAGAAACAACACGCCCCCCCCCCTACCGTCTTCTCACCTTTCGCAAAACCGCATCGATATTTGACTATAGGGGAATGAGTTCATCAATGGGCAGACATTAAAGTGAATCCGAAAATCATAATCGAATAGGTTGCTCCCAAATATTATCATTCTTTGACACGGATGCTTTTTTCCCCGTTTTTTTTCAAGGACTCTTCTTCTTCCCTTTTGAGCGCCATTTTCTAAAATCCTGATTATACGAAATATGCAACAGACACTCAAAAGCTCTAATCTTAAGATGTCAAGGCAAAATTCCATACTTTAGAAACTCCGAGTTTCTTAGGGGTCTTTTCTGCACTTCTGAGATATCGCTCATAAAAATGAGGATTTATTGCCACTCAATATATTGCAAATTTTTCCATTGAATATGCTGGAATACAAATCATGGGATACTGTCAAACTGTCGCTACATTGGTTGAAATTATATTTTTAATTTCAGCCTCGATTCTAAGGACCGTCCATCACGACATCATCCGATTCTTTGCAAATTCAAAATAAAAAATTGCTCTACAAAAAAAAACTATAGCAATCAGTATCCTAGATATCAGATAAGCATTGCAGCAAGCTGATAAGCAACGCAGCGGCGGCGCGCCGGCCAGCAACGCAGCCTCCCGTAGCGCTCAACCTCAACCGTCAATTGGCCTGAGAAAGCGCTCGATTTTAAGCGAACCGCGCTCATGTTTTCCCTTGTAACTTCCAAAGTCGGAAGAAGTCGGATGAAAACTAATATGATTCTGAAAGCTAAGGATATGTAGAATCTCGATATGCAAACCGTTTCTTGGACAAGTCTGGACATTTTTTTAAAACTCCAATTGAAGTTTGAATTTTAGTTTTTTGACTTATCGATTTTGAATTCACTCTCTGACCACCAGGAAGTTAAATGTAATCATCACCAATGACGTAAATGAATAGTCTATGTTTGTATTCAATTGTTATAACAAAAAATTGCATTTAAAATCATCTCGGAAGCTAGAGGAGCAACATTTGTATACGTGCGCTTTTACCTCTTTTTTTCATCTTTCCGAAACACGCGTTTCTCTACGCCTATCATTTGAATATTCCTCAATTAAATTGTTAAAATCTTCGTTATTCTGGAAGTTTATACCCTCCAGGTAACTTCTACACCTTTGGTTTTTGCTTTTAATGATTTTCATTTTTACCGTGAATGTCCCGTTTCTGTAATGGGCTCGTCCCAATGTGCGCCACCGCGCCGCCCGCGGCACACTATGGTCAAAAATTCAAGATTAGAAAGAAATAAGTCGGATAATGACTGAAAGATCACGAAAGTTTCGTAACCGAGGTTTTTCGAGTCGCTAATTTCGAATTTGATGTCAAATTGCCTACGTATATTAAACACCCTGAACTGACCTATTTATGGACCACGAGACAAGGTACGAATTTAAGCACTCTGATACATGATTCTTGACCAAAATTTCACGTAGAATACGATTCGCGCACTGAAATTTACTGAAACTAACTCCTAATGAAGATATTAACGTTTTAATTTTACATTGGTTACGGGGAATTTGAACTATGCCCGCTCACAAGAAACTCAAAGCTCTACGTGAGTCAAAGCGCGCACTACAAAGGTTTCGGCAAGCTTATTCTCAATAGAGTAATGTTCATTTCCCACCCTGTGTTGTTCACACTATAAACAATTTGCTATGACTGAGCCAAGGCGCCAGATTTTTGAATCGCAGAGACTGCTATGGTAACGTTTAGCGCGTGATGTGACTCACGTAGAGTACCCATTGAGTTTTCATGAGCAGGAGGTTTGGATTTACGCATCAACAAACATTGAATATCATCGTTAGGTGTTGACTTCAGTGATTTTCATTGTGTGCATCGTGTTCAACGTAAAATTTTAGTCAAGAAACATAGTATCTGAATACTTAAATTCGTACCTTGTCTAGTGGTCCACTATGGGCAAGTATATGGCACGCTGCGGCGCGGCGCGGCCGGCGTGCTGCCACTGCCAGCTCGAAACGCGCACTGACGCCTACAAACCTATATACTTCAAGCATTGCGCAATGCGTGAAGTAGCCCTTTAGGTTTGTAGGCGTCGGTGCACGTTTCGCACTGGCAGTACACCGCGCCGCGGCGCCCCCCGACGCGCGAGTGATAAACGATTTCTTGCGGAGAGAGCATATCCTGGCGGAGTAACTCGTATATCGTGTAATTTTTTTTTCTTCTTCAATTTTGGACTTTTAAAATTATACACTGGTCTAGTGAAGTAATAAGTGAACTCTCAACGAGAGATGAAGTGTAATAATGAAAGGCAGGCCGTGCGCTATGCGCGCTGCGGACGGCGCGCGCAGGGCGGCTCATGAAATTATCCCGTGTGCTCCGGCCACAGATTTTGAAGCTATGCACGCCCTTCAAAAGTGCAGGTACATTGCGCTCGATTATTTTTCGAAACATTTCTTCTTTCTTAAATCGCTTATTCTTTCTTTTGATTTTTTACGTATAAAATCGAATTTTTGTCCGGCTTTTTGAAAAATTCTCTTGGAATTAAGCAGCTTTTTCTCCGTGACGATGCCACACAATTATTCATCTTAAGCGTAGTTTTTTTTACTTTGTGTCCCTCGGCGGTGTCAAGGAACCGAAAGAATTGTCGGCTAATGAGCGGGTTTTCGCCTCATTTGTGGTTAGACGAGTCGATATTTCATACGCTTAAGTGAGGGGCTTGGTAGACAAGTGGGTTAAGTAAGTGAAGCTTTTGAAAATAAAATGAGATATCGATTAGTTGAACAAAAAAAGTCTCGTAACATAGTTTGGTAAAAACTCACTCCTAAAGTCGAATTTTTAAGCATCAAAAAGTGAATTTGAAATATCTTTCGGCCACAAGGTTCCTTGTCATTTTGAAACTTTCAACACGTATTCTTTAAAGTGGCAAAAACTGCCCTTGTCTCACTCGTCCTACTAGCCCCTCAAATGAAATGACTGTACCAAGTTTCATGCTCGGTAGCCTGAAACGTACTATGAGGGTGATTTTTGAACCTATGCTACCACTTTATTGCAGATGCTTTTTCGGCATATTTTGGAATGAAAGAGGCTAAAAATGTAAGACCAAAACATCGATATCATCAATTTAGGAGTACGTGGACTCATTGGATTCGACACAGACCCGCCTAAAGTATGCTCGAATATACTTAGCTCCTACTTATTCCTCCGGTTTTGATTCTCGGAGGTGTCAGGGAGTAAGGCGTCAAACCCGGCCAAAATGCTGAAATCCCTATGGATCCGAAACTTGATTAGGTCATTCGCTTTACCATTCCCTGTGTTTTTCTCACTCCTTGAGTTATGCTTTGCTGGGAGTCGATCACCGTCTACGATGCAACAACAAATCACCAAACATGGCATCATACCTGATGTTATTACTATGCAGCCGAGGAATCACATTACGGTGAGTTGTGTTCTCTAGATCACTGATTCTCACTGCTTTTTTAAGCTACAGGCTGATCTAAAAGTCCCTTCCACCCTCTCTAACTGTTTACCCAATTGAGGTAATCATTTGAAACTTAGGGGATGTTCCTAGGTCAAAGGGAACTACTTTTTGGCCCCCCCCAAATTTTCAGGGAGGCTTCCCTTGGGAGCAACGGACCCCAACTTTTTTTTTGAATGGAAAAACCCCCTTTGTGATAACTCGTTCGAAAGAACATACAAAAAAGAAAACTTTTCGCTCAAACTAGAAGTCAATAACTCCAACTGTTTTAAAATGGCGGCCGGTTAAAGTTCAAAATGGCCGAAAATTCACACCGGTTATTTGTCGATGGATTTGCGCGAAAATCGGTCTTTAGCGGTACTTGGAAACGAGAAACACGGATTTGACGTTAGATTTTCAAAAAACAGTTTAAGATATTGACTTCCAGTTTGCGCGAAAAGTTTTCTTTTTTTATGCTCTTATACGAACGAGTTATCACAAAGGAAAGTTAGTAGGAAAGTATCCTGTGAAAGTTTGGCGACAAGGGGTGGAGGAGGAGATCAGAAGGTGCCAATTGCCTGATGATCTCTGGGAGGATAGGGGGCAATGGCGATTGGGCGTCGCAGAGCGCGAGGCGGCGCTATAAAAGCGACTTTATGTATGTTATCACAAAGGGAGTCTTCCGATTTGAAAAAAAAGTTGGGGTCAGTTGCAGTAAGGGGGGCCAAACAGTAGTTCCTTTTGACCTAGGAACGTCCCCCCAGTTTCAAATCTGTACCTCAACTGGGTAAAAAGTTAGAGGGGATGGAAGGGACTTTTGGATCACCGTGTACCTATGGATTTTTTAAGATGAAGTTATCTGCTTCTTCTATCTTCTGAGTAAGGGTGCTCGCAAGGCTACAAACGATCTAAAACCATGATATGAATATTCTAGAGGAGGGTAAACAGAAAAAAGAACCAAAATTATATACCGACCAAAATATTCAATGGTAACTCCAGATGGTTGAGCACGGTCATGGTAAATTGTGATACATTTTTATTCAAATCTTCAAAATCTGTAAAGGGTCTTAAATATTTGCCCGCTCATGTTCAACTTTTTCTACGCAAGTACATTTTAAGGGTCCTCAATATATTATTTTAAACTGAGGGGGAGAGGGGGGGGAGGAGGATTCCTTACTAGCGTGAAATACATTAGAATTTTTCAGTGAGATTATTCTTGCAGGAACTCAGTGAGACGACATTATTAATAATTGCGTTATTTTCCAGGTTGAATACTCGAAAAAAGTTGTTGCAAATTTCGGAAATAAACTTAAAACTCCCGATCTGAAGAAGAAACCTTGGTTACAGTGGTCGGCTGATCCAGAATTGTACTATACTCTAATATTAACAGGTACCTAATGTTCACCTTCGAAATTGTGTGTGCCTGTACAAATGAACTACATTTTGCAATAAAGAACCTTTATTACTGTCTCTCCCACAAAAACACCTGCTTACATACAGGGAAACTATTCTCACGTACGTTCTTTTTTAAGTGAGGCAGAAATCGTAGTTCGATTGAAAAATGTAGTAAATGAACACAGTGTACCTGCAGCTACTATGTCCAAGAGAAGTAAGTTCATTATTGGATTAAACTAATGGGAAAATAGCAAAAACTGTGAACTATCAATTATGAATCGCAAATGGGCCTGTTGCAAACTTTTGCTAGAGCAAAAATAAGAGTTGTTTCTTCTAGATAATGCCTCAAAAATCACGATGAGCGCATCGGCAAAGTCTGAAATGCACTCATAACTTCACAGTCTGCGTAAGAAATTTGCGGTTTTTTGAGCTTCCCGCTTCAAAAGCGATACTACGCCACAGGTGAACATTTTGTAAAAGGAGTCGTTCCATCGTCGGCAATACTCATCATGGCCGACGCCAATCCGTCAAAACACGTGTGATGGGACGAGATAATACCTGAACTGGATTAGACCAGATAACAATCGGCGTGTTTTAACGTTCATGTTTTCCACGCCCGAATTGATTGACCTTGAACTCTCCTCGAATTACGCGCGGAACTGCGCGCAAGCGTTGGCCATGATGAATATCGCCGACGATGGAGCGACTCCTCTAACAAAATGTTCACTTGTGCCGTAGTATCGTTTTTGAAGCGGGAAGCTTAAAAAAACGCAAATTTCTTACGCAGATTGTGAAGTTATGAGTGCATTTCAGACTTTGCCGATGCGCTCATCGTGATTTTTGAGGCATTATCTATAAGAAACAACTCTTATTTTTGCTCTAGCAAAAGTTTGCAACAGGCCCATTGGACGTCCATTTTTTCTAAAATAGACAATTTTCTGAAGTAAATCAGGAAGCCCTTCAATGGTTCTCCACGGATCCAGCTGCACAAACAACCATGGAATTCTGCACTTTATTGTTTGATGTGGCGTTTTTGCCTACCTACCTCCTTAGCACGATGAACAACCGAAAGTGGACTTTCTTCATGAATAATTGCGAGAAAAACGGGCCCAAAAACTGCAATTTTCTGCACTTTTAAACGCGTTTTTTGTGGACACTTGGCACTGTTACTTAGTCGGATAAATCTTTTGTTATTCCGTAAAAGTGGGCGGCGCCTACCAAGAGACGCAAAATTTCATGAGACTTTAAAAAATGAAATTTCACGTGTAATTTTTAAACTTCTGCAATGAACTCAGTATGCCATGAAACACACATGAACACTAAAATCTTAATTTAAAAATGGGGAAAACTAAATAAGAGATCCGTTAAAAAAAATAAAGTATGATGGGATATGTCTGAAACGTAGGAAATCGAGATACATGGTTTGTTTAAATGCAAAGATCCTGTGTGTACAGCAAGTTGCAATAAACTGCTGAATATTTCCATGAAGAATATATGTAATTTACGATTCAGAGGAATCTAGACGTAACACTTGGATCGTAAAGGTCAGGTTTTCTCAGAGAAATCTTCTACTGTTGATGCCTTTAAAACTAATATAAATAGACGCTGTGTCACAAAGACAAGGAATCATTATACGTCAAGTCAAATTTTTATTTTTTCTTCAGATCCTGATTCGCCTTCGAGGGCAGAACCTAAGAACAGGGAGTGGCTTCTTTGGCTTGTGGTAAATATTCCTGGATTTGACGTCAAGTCCGGAGATACTATTGTCGACTATATGAGACCTGACGCCGGCAAAGGAACCGGTAAGAATTTGCTGAAATAATCCCAAAATTATATGTGCTCAGTTTCCCCCTCTTTAATTTCTTTATTTTTCTTCTTCATTCACAGGAGCTGACGTGCATCGGAATTGTTAGGAAATGCTCTTGCTTTGGGGACCCCTCTGTCGCACGGTGGATCGAGTCAATAGCAGAAGTATCGGACAAATTTTAAAACTTTAAACGCATTTAACTCCGTTTATACAGACTTTAAAGTTCTGAAAGTGGCTTCATTGGTTTCCTAGTGAATTTTTCTTCTGAAAGCACCCCTTGAAATTTAAAACGTGACGAAATAAACATCAATTTGCAGTTTCAGTCAAAAATTTCCTGTCCGACCTCTGTAATTGACTCGGTCCACTGTGAGCCGGTTGGAGCCTCTCTAAGGGGAGATCGGTGCATTGATGCCAGATGTGTTAAAAAATATAGTACTTAAGGCTGAATAATCAGCTCTCTCCCCAAACTTTAATTAAAAAATTGGCAATCTAGAGTATTTCTCAGAAGGGGGGAGGGGGTTGATTTGAACTTAAAAAACCTCTCTCGAAGGTGCTATTTTTAGGAGGAAAATGGTTGATTAAATATTATCACTTCGCATAAAGGATGTCATTGGATTGTTCATAATATTATTCTACAAAGGGACCATTACAAATAATGTAGAATTAAAGTTATTTTAAATTCATCTGCTGAACTAAATTGTAGTTGAGTACTTACTGTGAGCCCTCTGACGTGCCTAGCGTATCCGAATTCTCGCGTGAGTCCTATTCTCTGTATAACTCCATGCTTTCTACGGCTCAAGTGGAATTCTCGGAAAAAAATCTTCGGTGCTTAAAGCCAGATAGTAGGTGACATTTACCATCTTGGATTCCCAGATTCGACCCCTGAAAACAATTTTGCTACGAGCACAAATGTATGATGGTTAGAAACCTCAAACCGCGATCAGGTAGGCGTTGACAACAAAGATGGTAATTCGCACCAACACTGCTGGGCGGGCGCCCACTCCGCAGACGCCCCGCACAACGTTGCTGAGATAGACCTTGAAAGATGGTAAACTGACCCATCCGGATGTTCAGTGTATCAATCATGAACGCAAGGAGAACCTAATATTTTGTGTTTTTAGCCATAAAGAGGAGTATTTTCTTGTGAAACGTACAGCTAAAAAAATTGTATACAAAGGTGTGCAATGTCGGGGTTCGCAGCTAGGGGATGGTGGAAAGGGTTAATCGCGTAAATAAATTTCGAAATCGAGTAAAATGAGACTATAGTACTTATTGCGAGGTGCTGTAGTCGTATCCGACCTATCAAATTTTATTCTCTACCGCGGGGATTGAACCTGGGACCTATCTAACCCTAGCCGAAGACCCTAACGATTGAGCTATACAGTATGATGAAAATCTTGACCGAAGAACCTGTACATAGCTTCGATTTGAACGGAAAACCAGGATATTCAATCTACAAGCATAGATTGGTTCATTCATTTTTCTAATTTTTGTATTTCATTTTATTTTTTAACGTTATTTCAGTTTTTTACTTTATTTTATTTCGTTACTTCATTTTAAATTTTTTACTTTATTTTTTTTCTTTACGTAATATAATTTTTCTTTGATTATTTATTCTTTATTTCTTCCCTGTATTTTACCGTTACTTACTTCATTTTATTTCTTGCAATTTTTTATTTTTTTTACTTTAATTCAGTCACTTCATTTTAATTTTTATACTTCATTAAATATCTCTTCGTTGTTATTTATAACTGCATTTTATTTATCTATTTTTTCTTTTTTTCTTTTTATGTCGAGAATCAATTCAAAATTTTCAAATTAGAATTATTTTTACGATTGGCTAAAGTGCCTCTAGCATTGGACAAATAAGCCCAGGCTACTTACTTGAACAAGTGAGATTATGTAGAATAGAAAATAAAAAAATAGACATATGTAGTGATTGCCTAGCCTACAACCTTGCCTAGCCTAACCTAAACCTGGGATGTATTAGCTTAACGACAGCATACAATTGACAAGAAACATTGTTAAAACATTAGTAACAATTGAATGCCATTTCCTTGGAATTTTGAATGTAGAAAAAAAATTGATTTTGAAAACCATTATTAGTACCAGGGGCCTTTGGCCGCTACGCTGCCGACAACCAATGCGGAAGAAAACAACATACGTAAAAAGTCGTAGATCAACCGTGTTCAAGTTATCTCGGAGATTAATGGATTCAAATACCGTCAATGTTTTATTTTTGATCAATGTTTTTAAAAGAATACACACTGTTATTCTACTGAGATTCCGCAAATTTTCCTGAGTGATTTAAAATAGATAAAAGAAAATTTGACTTAAAACGCATAATATCCGAAATCTAAGCTCAGATTCGGCTTCCTCGTGAAAATTCGATGCGATTTCATGTATCATATGTCACCATATCATGAAGGAAAGAGATTAACGTAGGCGTGTAGATTCTAACATATCAGTCCGACGTGGCAACATGGGTGATTCGGAGTGGGTCAGCTGATGAGTAAGAAGAAGTTTGTTTTCTCGGAAACGGACGAACCAAATGCTTGACGCCGGCGTCTGGCGGCGTAGCTCAAACGTTTGGATTCTGTGCCTACTTCCGCATACCGGCCGACTTTGATAGAATCTTTACGCCTACGATTTGATACATGAAATAGCATCGATTTTTCACGAGGAAGCCGAATCTGAGCTTAGATTTTGGGTATGATACGTTTCAAGTTGAATTTTCTGAATTTGAAAATTTAAGACGGCGGACGTAGCCTAAATTGATACATCGGCTCCCATTCCATCGATTAAATTCGAATTTTTAGTCTAATTTCGAAAATTCAAAAAACCAAGGTGGCGGGCGTGGCCCAAAACGCTATCTCGGTTCCTGCTCGTCGGATTTTCGTAAAACTTGGTGCCGAGGGGAGGGGGGAGGAACGAAATTTTCAAACACTGCAATGGATATGTCGCAGGCAAATAGTAAAATTAGGCATTTTTTCAAATGCCTAGGCAAATAGTCAAATACTAGGAGGCTATGCCCCATGACCGCTACGCGGTCCAACCCCCTGAAGGCGTTCCGCGCCATCAATGGGCCGCTTCGCGGCCCTATTTTTACTTCCTATCAGTGTTAGTTTTATTTTTCCCCTCAAAAATTACGATATGAGGTATACTTTACCTTTAGAACGAAATAATTTTTTGTTTTGATGAATATTTTAGTTCGTTTTAATCCGGTTTTTTTAAATCAGTGAAAAATTTAACATCATCCGAGTTTCTGAATTGTTGTAATAAATGCCCTTTAATTATCTTTAAAACCGAGCAGAGTCAAGGATAATTAATTGCGCGAAGTCATATAGTTTTGCGGCGACTTTACCGTCGCCCGAGCCAGGGACGGGAAAAAGGAGTACGTTCCACGAACATGACATTACACGCTTATCAGTCACATAAGGTGGGTTGAATATGAATTCTTGAGAATTTATCAACATACTTTCCCTAATCAGCCCATATCTGATTGCTTTCTTTGGTGAGGTGACTCAATGTTGGTAAAGCGTAAGAAATTGAGGGGGCAGACTAATACTTTAATTGAGTTATCTGAGATGCTGACCTTCATAATCAACAAGTTTACAATTTGCACTTACGCATTCTGTAGTTCAATGAGCCCACTTAACCGAGTAGCATCAACCAAAAACAAGATAGGTGAAGCGCAAGAACACTCTTTGGTGCAATGAGTCAACTTGATGGAGCAGTTTACCATCAATTTTGTATCGTTGAACAGATTTGTAATAGCTAGTAGCAACTAATTGAAAATGATTGATTTCCCTAAAGACGTTGTGGACAATACAATGCCGTTGGTTATTCTATCAATTTTTTCATGTATACGGCACCAACTTTTAATTAACAAAACCAAGATGGTTATCCGCGCACAGTCATTTTTTTCCGTGAACTAAGCTCTCATCACACGATCAAACCTTGCCGTCAACATATCCACGTAAAGTGCTGTGATTGGTCCAAGTTATCGATTAAGCCAATCACCACACCTAGAGGTAACTTTGATATTTTGATAGCTAAGTTTGATCGTGTAAGATTAGGTAAGGAGGAACACCCTAACGTCAGAGGAGCAACGATAGGAAAACTGCTAAAAATGGTGAGGCCCACTCGTTTCCTCTGGCCAACTTACAATAGTAGACATTTTAAAGTAGAACATGTAGGTATTCTTCTTTGGCTTAATCAAAGTTACCGAGGAAACCGAGGGTACTNGGGGGGGGGGGGTTTAGTTAAAGGGCCCGGTATAATGTGGCGTGCTTCGCCACTGATCCATTCATCTGCCATTTAAACCTGTGGAAAAGGATCGATAAACAGGGTGTTCGCGACGAACACCTTAGCAATCGATCCTTTGCCATAGCTTCAAATGGGGCTATATCGATAATCGATCGAACATTCACGCCTCGCCAATGTTGCCTGTGCGGCGAATCTCCAGCTGACGATATCTGTCAATATTGGTCAATGAGTTTGCGCATCGACTTTTAGTTAGGTTAGTTACTTCATTTATAGACATTCAGCATCCTAGGCTATTAACATCTTTGCAAAGAATTTGGAAGATGAGTGTGCATACAAAAATTTAGATTTTTAAATTAAGGGAGGCAAAGAGTTTCAGTCCACTGAAGTTTGTGGAGCGAGATATGTGTACAAATTTCGGACAGGAATCAGTCCAGAGTTCGAATAGTGGCGCGCTTGATCTCCGAATTCAAAGATGAAAGCATGATGAATCGATCGGCAATTTGCCACAATTGTCAAGCTAAGATTTTCCTTCATTTCCGTGTGATACCACATCACATACCTACCCATCCCGGAGTCGGAATAATTGCGCGCTTGGTTTCCGAATTCAACGATGAAATCATAATGACGAGTCATAATAACTGTCAGCAATTTGAGACAATTGTCAAAGCTAAGATTTTCCTTCATTTTCGTGTCACCACATATACCCACTCCGGAGTCCGAATAGTTGCGCGCTTGAAATCCGCATTCAATGATGTGAGCATAACGCCCACATTCATGAACGTCGGTATTATTGAATTATTATTGATACGACGAAATTACCATTTTAAACACAAGAAGAAAATAAGGAGAAAGGACTCGGAAGCCAATGTGAACACATAATAGAAGCAACGATTCTTTTTCCATAAACATGAAATTCAAATCCTTCTTTTCATGATTTAGAATGTGCTGTTCAGGATATAAAGGTCAAATTAAGGGAGAAATAGGTCTATGGAGTTTAAGCAAACCGGCCCACAGCTGAAGTTGAATCCAATGAAACGGTAAAAACCCGATTGGTGGCAACATGGTTTCAGAGCCTAATTATTGCTTGAAGATTTTTGGTAATAAGGAGAGAAAAATTCAAGGTTTACCTTCTGAAAAATGCACATCAGGGACTCAATATTATCAAAAGTGAGAGATATACTGAAATTTTTACTCGTATTTTATTTTTAAATTTCAGGTAGCCATAGATTTATTTTTCTAACGTACCAACAACCATCCGTAATTTACAATTTTAACGAAACAAAAGTATCATCAAGGTGAGTGGATATATTTTTTCTCATTGAGGAAATTAACCGTCATTGGCGTAGTCGCCTGGATCCAAAAAATTGACGGCCAAGTCAACAATGTTGGTGATTGGGTCGCTCACCTAAGAACAAGGTGATCACATCAATTGCTATTCACAGACCTGCTATTATCACTGCTATTGACAGACAAAGCAACAGATAAAGAAGACAACGGGAGAATGAAGCGACCTCATTGCTTGAAACAGGTGGTTGTTATTGACTAAAAGGGGAAATAATAGACCAACTCGTGGGTCGTCTGTCGTGGGTCGCCATTAGTTAGTCTGGGACTTACCTCCTTTGTCCGCTGCAACCACCCGCTTCCACCTATAGGATCCCTCCATTTTCTCTTTGTTCTCTGTCTATACCTTTGTCCATCAATTCCAATCATCAGCTCGCTGCTGATATCCTATCGCCAATCGTTGACAATCGGAATTCGGATCGTCAATTCGTCTGTTGTGCGCAAAAGATGAAAATATACGAATAGAGTTTTTGATAAAATCGCGCGGTGATCAAAATCAGCACTTAAAGAAAGTCTTAACTTTTACCCCTTGATTTGGATGTATAGTTCGTATCACTCATTTTCAAATTACCCGCGTCTGCAGTTACTATCTCTCCTACGTTGAAAACCAGGATTGTCCAGAAAGAGAGTAAGAAAAGCGATAAGTGGACTACCTAATATTTAAAACAAATTCCAGTTTTGTTTTCCACTGAAACATGACCCCTGGCATGCTTTTATATTTATGGATCTTAGGGCTCAAGTCACTATATGTATACAGTTCCTTTTGATGCTATAAGAAAAAATTATGTGTGCGAGGTTTGCGTGCAACGTAGGTATAGTGCTTTTTAACCTTAAAACGTCGAATTTAACAATCAAGGGTAGTAGTTTCAGTGAGGTATGTTAGTTGAAGTAGAGACATTTGGCAACATCTGTTCAAATTTAACAATGTATGTATTTTTTTTCCAGAGAGCACGAAGGCCGAGCGAACTTTTCAACTCAAAAATTCTGTGACAAATACAGACTGGGTAGTCCGTGGGCGTCAAATTTTTTCCATGCTGAGTGGTTTGACAAGGAAAAAGATGCAATCGAAAATCATCCGTAATAAATTTCCTTCGCATAACCCCCCCCCCCCCCCNAATATAAAAATTAAGTTTTCGCTGTTTCTATGCGTTTCGTGGCATGCTGAGTCCATTGCAGAAAATTTGAAAAAAAAATCGTTTAATTTCATTGTGAAATTTCATTTGATTAAGTTTCATGACATTTTGCATTTCTCAGTGGATGCAGTCTGTTTAGGAGTAACTTGGCAATCAAAGGCTGGTCCTCCGGGTCGGGGGTTGGGTCATCAAGCTGACTCCTCGTCCCCGATTCCCACTTGGAAAAAAACGACTGTGAAAAGATCTTTGGCATGTCTCGAAATAACTTATGGGAAAACCAGATGAAAATTCCTCTGAATTCCTTCTGATGAAATTTCCTCTGTATTTTAATTAGTGTCTCCTCCATATGAGAGATATTATAGGCATCAGATTTCACTAAAACCGTCAAATCCTGCCTATTTGAATATTTTTTTAGGGAAAAATCCGGATCTTAGAATTACAGACTATGTTTCATACCTGTTTACGTTTTTGAATGAAGAATTTATTTTTTAACAAGAAAATGTGAAGATATCAATTTCTTAATCCAAACTTCGCTGAAAAATTTGCTGTCTGAAAGAGGAAACTCATTGAAAGCGAAACGGAACATTGCGAAATTTCTAAAGGTAGATCGACCCTGAAACATGAAACAGTACCTACCATGAAACATTTCTGGCCGCTCGCACTGTTCCCATGGCTTTGATTTAAACCTCCTAGCGTCCCTCCAAAATTATTTGGGGTCTGAAAATTTCGGGGAAGAAGGGCGCGAGTATGAGTATAATGTATAGAAAAATTTCGGAGGAAACCGACGGAGAAGGTAGCAAACGTCGTTTTTACTACAAGCTCAGTGGACGAGAGTAAATGACCTTTTGTAAAATTGGAAGATATTTTCAACAAGTCGATTATCCTACTCAAAGTTTATTGCTTGTATATTTTCTAAAACACTGAGAAAAAAATCCGGCCGTGGGAGCCGCAATTACGGGCTATATAGACATTCCGTCCGTTCCGGGCTCAAAGGCCGAAAATTCCGGCTGCCGGAGGCGTAGCTTCGATTGCTCCGGGTTCAGAGGCCGAAGCTACGGCTCCAGCAGCCGGAATTTTCGGCCTTTGAGCCCGGAAATGACGGTATGTCTATATAGCCCGTAATTGCGGCTCCCACGGCCGGAGTTCTTTTTTCAGTGCAGAAATCATGTTTGAATCCAATTTCAAGTGTGTCAAAAATGATCAATTTGTGGGTCAATTGCTGAAAGTGGAAACTGTATCATTATCAAGCCTTTAAACATCTAATTTGTTTTTTTCTTTCTTTCTTTTTCCTTTTTTCTTTTTTTTTAAGGTTTCCACATAGAGTACAATAGAGTCGCAAAGTACTGGAGCGGCGATGAAGCCAATCCATGAACAGGCGTTTCCGAGCCGCGTGTGCTCCGAAAATAGTGAACCATTTGCGAACCCAACGGCATTTTGTAACACGGCGGCTTATGGAGAAATCAAGAACTGCTTGTGTTTTTTAGGTATTTCATAATTCAATCAGCATTAATTTTTGCAAATTTTGCTATTTAAAGGTAGTCAAAGCCATAATGAATCCATTGATGTATATTACTCCTGGATAATATTCATATTGGGATTTAATTTCTGACTTATACCAAGTGTGAACCAACCGGCATTTCTTATCACGGCGGCTTACGGGAAAAGCAACGACTGTCCGTGTTTTTTCGACATTTTTTAATTTCATCGATATTAATTTGTGCAAATTTTGCTATAATTAGATAGTCAAAGTCATAATGAATCCATTGATGTATATTACTCCTGGATAAAATTCATATAGGAATTTAATTTCTGACTTATACCAAGTGTGAACCAACCGGCATTTTTTTACACGGTGGCTTATTGAGAAATCAGCGACTGCTTGTGTTTTTTCGACTTTTTTTTAATTCCATCGGTATTAATTCGTGCAAATTTTGCTTGAAATAGATATTCAAAGCCATAATGAATCCATTAATGTATGTTACTCCGAGATAATATTCATATATGGACTCAATTTCAGACTTATTACCGGCCTACTTATTTTAGCTGGTTCAGTGTGTGTCTAGCCGACGAACGGAGCCGAGTCGGGATTGTCGGGAGTGGGGAGCGCTGAGCGCGAGTCTCTGCGTATGCGTCATCGCTAGTCGCCGCACACTAGTCTCCGGAGAACTGGACAAAACAGCCTCGAAAAGTGACTTCATCGGCGATCCAGTACTTTGCGACTCTATTGTACTCTATGGGTTTCCAAACATTAATTTATTTTTACGATTTTTTCATTAAAACAGAGGCATTAAAAAGCGACGTAAGGAAGAAATGAAGGAGGCCTTCATCGAGCACGGTTTGATACCTCATTATCTACATGGTCTTCCTCGGCGCGATTTACAGGTATGTAAGTATATGTTACGGAATGAAAACTGGAACCAAATCCCACTTGGGGTGGGGGAGAATGGAAAAGGGGGAGATGAACGGACGAGATGATACCGGGGG